CTATGAACACAAGGATCCTGGATATGATGTTAGTTAAGTTGATCTCTTCACGGTTATCACAAGAAGACTTCTGTCCTTTCTTATAGACCGGTCAGTAAAGTATACATATCTGACGGCATTACCTCTGATACCCATATATATCTTAGTAACTGTTACTTTCTTTAGTAATTTCTCACATCTGTCCTTAAAAGTTCATGGTGGTGAAGTGCTGGGTCCTGTTGCCTTGCATCGTTTCGGGTTCAATACAGCCTTTTCAATTTCAACAAGAGTTGAAGGACCGATATCTACGTCCCATTCAAGTTCAGGCTGAATGTTGGGCAACTGGAGCCTTGCTGTCAGCAAGTTGAACTGTGCTTTAAAGTGTTCTACCCAACATTCTAGCCTTCTGTCCTGAAAGCTTACCAGCGTCCTATCCTTTTCGATGATGGTTTCCAAGCCATCGTCTTCTTCTTGCCAGTATCCTTAATTGGCCTAAATAGTTACTGGGTTTTACCTAACGCTGAATTCTTTTTCATTTGTATCGCTTTCGCCATTAATCACTGCATGCGATCATTGAGAAAACCCATGGTCAACTTATGTTTAAGTTGCTTTTGCTTTTCATTGTGGTCACAACAAGCTAGTATGAATCTACTCGCATCAATCGGTTCGGATGAAGTTGTGGAAATTCATGTGTGGTTTCAGAAAAGTTGCTAAGATTCACTGACCCTTTCTAGCATGCTTTTGAAAGTCGCTTATCGTATTTAACGCCGATTTTACACAGAATTGGAAATGGTGTCAGGTTTTTTCCGGATGACTGAAACTATCCTGTCCTGATAACTGTCCAGTCAGTTCCCTGCTGAAAGTAGCTTTAGTATTCTTATCATTGAGATGTGCTCGGAATGGTCTTGTTGCTGAAGCTTTTTGAAGTTTATTTAGGTGAAGACATTAGTCCGATTGCTGTCCAGACACGTGTTTCAAAAGGAGTGGGGACCTTTTATTGTTCCTTTCCAGCAATAACTTATAGCAATATGGTCATTCTGCGTCCACTGGTGATGTGAGGCCAGTGAACACTGTCACAATACTTCCTTTCATGTTTGAAGTTCACAGTTGCACAGTTGCAGCAGGTGGTCGCTGTTATTTGTTAGTTCAGCTGGGATTCCGGAAGTGCCACTACGGTACGTTTCCGTCTAGATTAACTTACCTACTCTTACATTGAAATCACCTTTTACGTAAACCATGTTTGACTTTCACTAGGAGGCTGGATAACTTTCAGTAGAACTCTTTTAATTCACTCTAACTGCAGTCAGGGATTATAAATAGACGACGGCGAGTTTCATTATTTTTAGTTTTCGCTGCAACGTTCAGTAAAACAGAGCACAGGCGATTTTAAACTGGGATTCAGGTGAGTAGTGCAGTGCACACCTTATCACTTAATGCTAGACCTCCAAAACTGCGAGAACTAGTCACTAGATCCACAGAAACTCGATGGGTCAATTCTGCAGATTTACCACATTGATCAGGGGTGGTTAATCGCATAACCACACTTGAGTCTTGTGTTTGTTTCACAAACACAATATGCATCGATTGTCCGAGATGCCAGAGTCTTAGCGAAGCTTGGTCGACTTGACGAGGAATGTGGATATCAGAGTAGATAAAGTTGTATGAAAGAATCGACAATTTGAAGATAAAGGTTAGTGCGAATATTCAAGAGTGAATACGTCTGCATAATTGTGACCGATTTTCAGATGTCACCAAGAATCCTCAACCACTGATTTCTATCATCTCAGAGACCTTAATCAGTCGACATCTCCCCACACGGCTCATACCAAAAGTCAGAGACTTCATCGACAAGTGCCACGTCTTGGTCTGGCCATGCTGAACCCTCTTTCAATATAATCCAACTTTCCCTAGCATGGAACGTCGAGGTAGGCGGTGGATTAGCATGCGCAGTACATGTCCAAGCCATCCCAATGTTCACAAACTCAACAATCGAATTGCTTATCATACATAATACACTTCGCCTGACTTCAACATTGCTCACACGGTGATTCCACCAAACCCGAACAATGCTACGAGGACATCTGTGGTCAGAACCCTGTTACCGCTTCATGTCGTTTACTTTTAACATTAAAAGCCTCAATATGTAGTTCCCAGCGCAATTTCAGAAAATCAGAGATACTGTTCCGTGAACTGAAATTGTTATTAAGGGTTGCAAAGATGTAAAAAATTAACTATGATGCACGATTACTGGCACAGAGATGTGAAGAATGATTTAGAAGGTGAGGATGCCGAAGACAGAATGATCTGAGGGAACCTGAGTGCTGACATTTGTGAGGGCCGTTGAAACTTCTCAGCTCCTCACACCATAAAAGATTACTTCTTATCGATGTACCTGAAACACAAACTGCATTAGTTTTGCACGAGTGCAGAACCCAAGGTACATCTGCCTGAGACCTGTCCTATACGGTCTTTTTGGAAATTTGAGATCTAACTGTGTTGAATTCAGCTAGAAAACCCATATCGCATAGTAGGGAAGAGTGTGCTGTTTTGGAAACAACGCTTTTTATTCCCTCCGTTTCCCATAGGAAAGATAGCATGAACATTTGGTTATCCTTGAGATACACTTTACCGTTGACACCCAGCCAGCAGTACGACTTAGCCAATGAATTACCGTCTTAGCGTAGTTACTTAAACTATATTGGTAACGGCCCTTTGTCTTACCACTAGGATCTCAAGGAATAAGCATTCAGTCAGTATAGCACGTCGAGTTATATTTATGTGCAAGCCTGACCACCACGTCAAGGTAGCAGCTATGAATTGGATTCCCCGGTGCAAGTTGATATCACATGAAATATGTTATGGAAATAGAGGTTAAGACTAAGCAGAATTCAAAAGTTTAAGAGAGGGTGATCGATTTTGAAGATGTCATCCATATCAATCAGTTTACAAGAACGCATACTGACTACCCGCATGCATGACGAGAGCCAAAAGCAGCCCAAATACAATCTGGAGATGGGCTAGGCAAAGATGTATGTGGAAGTCAGTGACGAAGCCAATGGATAAAGCTGTCACAAACAGTGGGCAATATTCAGTAGTCACCTACGACCAGTGAAATGATTAGCAAAAAAGGTAACAAATAGTGTGGATACCACTGAGGACAGGTTTTTGGTGACTCATAGGACAGGTAGTTGGAACGGTGAACAGAATACCATGGAAACGTTCCAACTGTTTTGGAGATACGCTTCAGTTGCTCACCACATATATAGCTGCAGCCCGGAATGTGCATTAGTGTTAGACTTTTCACTCCCGCTGAAGTTGAGAAAGCCGTAGATAATTTGAAGCAGTGGACGGCAATACTGAATTATACATACCAGAGATTTCCACTCTTCAATTTACCTTAATTTATCTTTACCATCTAGTGTTTTTAAGAACACACTTTTTTATTAGCTCACAGGAACTGATTTCGAGTGGTATTTCTCAGTTGGTTTAGGATATACAAAAAACTCTATCTGCTGAATAAGCTGATGAAATGGTTTCTTGAAATTTCTGAGCGGCAATGTGGATTTTTAGTATGTTCTTCACCTTGGCAATAAAAAGCGTCGCTTCAAAAATAATCTGCATGGATACTTTGACAATAGAGAAGAGTGCTAAAGCTTAGTAACCATCATTTATCTAAGAATTAACACATTTTAGAACAATTTAAGTGCACTCAGCAACCATGTACATCCTCATGCAGCAGGCAATGAATCACACCTACTGTGAGGGCTAATAATACTACCTGGCTGCCCACATCCTGGTTGGTGCAACAGGGATATGACCCACGACCCACTAGTTGGAAGTCAACTCCTTAAACCAGTGAGCCACAGCTCCACAAGAAGTCACATAAACTCTGGTGATACGACGGGAGACGAAATATTAACACAAGGTCAAGAAGAATGTCCCAAGGTTGTCAGATGACTGTATCTGAATTTAAACTTGATCGTCGAGATTGACACAGATATCCGTTTGTGTACATGCTGATGTAACAGAAGAGATCATTTCTCGAATGCAGAAAGTTCAAGTAGAACTCATCAGTCTGAGTCCCTCATAATATCGCCATAACATCCCACTGTTTACAAAAGACCGGGTGTACAATAACCCGAAGACTTCTGTGACAGAACTTGTAGCTCCTTAGTATTGCTTATCTTAAAAGGACATGTTGCAGTCATATAACAAGAAACCGGACTGCTGTACAACAAACCTTTTTTGGAAACAAGTGCATATTTCATCAGTACCACAGATTGCGTACGTCGGAAAATCGCAAGTATTTTGCGTATTCGCACCAAGAGTTCATTAACAAGCATCCCAGCAAGTGATGTGATTTCACGAACTAGTGATCGATACACTCGAATACTTCATCCCTCATTATTACATGGTGTTAGTGTATACCCGTTGTGGAGCATGTCTTTACAGTTGGGAAGTAAAAGCAATTCCTAAACACACTCAAGTTTCTACTTTAATTTAGAAGACTCAATACACCTAAGTTTCACATTTAATTCTCTTCAGCATCGTTTTATAAGACTGTTTTATCTGTGTATTTAATTTACACAGATATTCTCCAGTATTCAGATTAACGCTTAACAGATCAGAGGAGATAAGTTCTATTCATCAGAACACCTACAATAAATTCAAACAAAAATGGTAGTACTGGACATCGCTTAGTAACGTGCTTCCAAATAAAGATTCTCTGTACGATCTATACCACTGCTTACGCCCCAGTACAGACTAATAAGTGGTATAAAACATTTGTTCTGCACTCATCAAGATCACCTTATCATAAGACCTCGAAGTTGGTAGTCAAGAAAATTGGAAATAAAAATATGGCTTATCGGTCTCAAATACCAAACATACTACTAAGGCGTCAAATACTGCGAACCTTACATGATTTTCCTATAGAGATAAACCAATAAACATCTAGCAATTACTTAATTAAGAAACATAGGATGCCTTATTTTTATTTTAAAAAATATGCAACAGCTTACCTCCTACGTTCCTCTTTTTCTATATCACAGTACTTCGCTTCCATACAACGCAAGTCTTCATAAGGATTAACATCCTTGTACTTCCGGGGATCAAATTTAAGTGCACGGTGAATATCGCGCACAACTCGTGCATACTCTTTTGATTGGAGTGCTTCACTATCATCTATAAAACTGTCATCGCTGAGATATTCATCTTCTTCCTCAGAACCGGATACGGACAAAGCAGCGCTATTCTGAGATTGAAAGCTGACACCCAATTGTGCAGCTATACCTCGACGTTGCGGCGCATCATCACAACGCTTAGGTTGGGGATTCCCTTTAGGTTTCTGAATTTGTATATCTTTGCTTCTGAAGTGGTTTTTGTTGCTTTTTTCAGTTGATGCAGAAGCAGGTTTAGGTAATGGCACTTGACACTTGCCATTTGTCAGAGTAATGGGTGTCTTAGCGGTACGTGAAACTAGTGCTTTTTCCGTGTTATACGGGTTAGCTTTCAGTTTGAGAGTATCGGTTAACTTTACAGTGGTGGGGATTTTTGTTTGTAGCTTAGTTTCTCTGGATATGTTTGCTTGCGATACTTTTGAAGACTCAAGATGTTTGAGGTTTGTCTTTTGTAGTGTGGAGGATTGGTTTACTGGAGCTACGTTAGACATTTTCCGGTCACTTTTAACTGGTAAACTAGGGGAAACCCGACCATTTTTTTCAAAACGCTTAACGGCCTTCTCCATCACACTGTCTTTATCAGCCTTACCAAAGCTGTTTAAACAAAAAGGTTTGGAAGACTTCTTTGATGTTAAACTAGGAGACACTTTCTGTGAGTCCAGTTGACTATGCAATGGGGGCGGCTTACACTTAGTCGAAGAAATCGTTGTCTTATCGGGAGGTTGTATATTCACTGATTTGCTGTCCAATCTTCTGTACTTCGAATCAACAGGACATGGGATAAGATCGTCAAATGGTCTTTTTCCAACTACACTCGATTGAACATTTTTCTTAGCCAATTCCATCATTTCTGTGAATGATAGGCGACTAGGTTTCCGCTGCACTTCAGTGTTTTTCTTGGAGTCCTTTTTTTCAACAGAACATGAAGACGCATGATTATGCATTACTTTACTAGTTGGTTTGTCAATAGCCTCCCCATAGTTTCTACTATCACAGTGTGTCTTTGAGTCGGCTTTAGATACAGATGGGACAGGTCTTGAAACTTCAGGTTTAATAGTGACATTTTTCGACTCTGATGCAGCGCCAACAGAAGTTTTCTTGGTGTTACAGCTACCAATGCTTACATTTTTGCCAGAAGGGAGTGGTTTTGCAAACTTGCGATTAAGTTTCTCTGCAACCTCTAGCTGTCTTTTCCGCTCAAGATCACGCTGCTTCCTTTGCTCTTCTATACGTTTGACCTTTATTTTGCAAGTGAAAATGAGTTGAAAATTACCTCATCATCATGTCTAGATTGCTTTTTCTTAGCCAAAGCAAGAATCTCCCGAAACTCCATCGAACGCCCCGCGTTGAAACCTGACCCTGAAACCAACGCACAAAAAGGGAAGTATGTTTAAGACACTCGTTTTGACTTTAGTTTCGAAGAGAAGCCCGCGGCATGGCAAATATTCCCTTAGACAAAATTTTTTTATTGTAGTATGATCGTTGAGCAGTTCTATATATTCAGAAGCCGTAATGCCTGCTTGTGTGTTGCGTTATGATCTAATTAGAAAACAATTCTGCATGCGAAAAGTAATTTCTCCAGTCGTTCTTGATCTTCAGCTTTTTCTTCCAGGTGGCTTCCACTGGGTCAGGAAAACAGTAGAAGTAAAGTCCGCCCTTAAATTTCTGCGCAACACAACCAGATTTCCACACTGTCAGCTATGCAATTCAGAAAAACGAGCTAACTTCTTTTAGAGTTTAAGTCATATGCCCCAGAGATTATCTGATTTACCATCAAAGGAACTCTGTATCACCCCTTGGTCAATTTCCAGGAAAGGGCTCTCTGCTTCTACACTGTTTGAACCAAGGCTTTGTAAGCCGCCACAAGCGTGTCTTCACTGATTTTTTGCTACCCAAATTGTCCTGTAACTCCGCGTATTTGCTGAGTGACAGCGTACTACAGAATTAGAGCCTTGAACCTTAATGTCCACTAAGTCGTTGTGATTCAGAGGTGAAAGCTATCTCCATTTTACTTAATGGATGTTTTCCCACTCGCTTCTTCTTGGAGAGATATATATTTCTTGAATCACGTTAGCACACGGCCAGGTTATTTTCAATGTTCACACCTGTCATCATTTTCCTCTGAATTCCAATCAGGTTTTTATCTGAACGTCTGACCACACTCCGGAGCAGTCTACTCTGCAGCAACTCACAGTAAAAACTTTACAACTGCCCCCTGTCCTACCAGCAAGGAACTGTCATTCATCCGCCTGGGTTGCTTTTCATCCCTAGATACTCTATTTTCGTACGAGATCTGTTATGAGAAAACTCTCTACTGATACTTATGGAAATGGCATCCATATGCTGCACTTACGCCTACGCCTTGAACAAGTTTCATTGATAATACGGTTTGTTGAGGATGTGAGGCTTTTGTGAAGACCATGCTGTAAGCCAAATAGTATGGCGCTGCTTCCTTGGTAGGTCGAAATGGATTTCTTGACTGCCGTTTCCACAGGCCTAGCAATAGTGTTGGACACTCGCTCAGATTAGCAACCTCTTACCATTGAACATCTTGAGACGCAACGAACCCACTAATAAAATTGGCATCGAAACACTATTCAAGGTATGTTACCTGGTGAACTTTATCACCACTGAAGTAAGTGAGAGGCTTGCATTTAGACTGAACTGAATAGCTTATAACGTCCCTGACACTGCAAATTTTATGGCGGCATGGGAAATTCTGCTCAAAACAGCAAAAATGCATCATGTCCATGCAAAATGTTTTCGACAAAAAGAGCCATCAGGACTACTGATGTTCTGTACGCTTTCAGTTCAAATCACAGATGGAAGAGGAAACATTCAGCAAGGTAGGACATGTCCTATCAAACAACACTGTCTTACAGGAATGAAGACAGTAGTCGAAAGGCAGGTATGCAGCTTTCTTCATAGACCGGACAGCCAAAAGGCTTCAAAGCTACAGCATACTACTCCAACATACCCAAGCCTAAGACTTCTCCCCCAAACCCTGTCAAGTCAAATATACGGAAAAGGACATCGACCAACGTGGACACGGAAAACTGCGAAATGCGTGATTTGATTCGACCACCTGAAACTGCAGATCTAGAAGCATCCACAGAGAGCTCCAACATAAAACCTGACACCGTACTAAACGCAACAGAACTCTCACTGGGGTCTGCTTCAGGCCTAGCGTCTACAACCCACACCATCCTAGGTCCTAGGATATCAGCCACTTGATATGCAACCGATAATTTAATGTTGTCATGGAACCCAACATATAGAGATGGACGCAGAAAGCACACAATGATCCGAAACGATCCCGTAATCTCCTCTGGAATTGACAGAGGTATGAACAGTGGCTCAACCACAACAGTTCTACGTGCTGGGCTACGTCCCACTCGACGTCACAACGACCCAACCATATCATCTACTGGTGAGAAGAGTCAACATCAAACCACCTGCAATAGAACGTCAGCGGGGTACTTCGTGAGGAAAAACTTTGATCGCCTGCATGGCATTAGCTTACTAGAAAACAGCTCCTGACCCGACATGACGTCAACTATGTCCGTTGTGAATTATAACCGAAGGCAGTCACTGGCAAGGGATACCACGCAGAACAGAGGTTTACGACGGCTGCAAAAACACGATAGTTTTTCATCCATTACATCCCTGTCAGTTGAGGCTTTGGCCAAAAGACCGACGGTGATGTTGAAGCCCCCTACTCCGAACCCCTAATCTTAGCCCCATTGGAGTAACAAAAAAGACCCAGTCAAACATACACACAAATCCTAGGCGCCGACTACCCAAGTGGCTTCATCAGATGCGAAAACCCGACACTTCAATTGAATCCTCTTTATGAAACAGATACAGATGCTAGAGACTACGCTTGCATGAGGTCAAACTCTGTGTATGTGGATATGATGTGCACACTGAACGCCTTAAATAAAAACATTACTCCGCTCTCCCCTAACAAAGGTGACGCTTTCAAGCCACTGCGTGGTTGATTTACCACTAGGATATCCTAGTAACTTTACAACTACAGGTGAGCGGGATGTAGAGGCTCTTCGCGATGAAGAGACGTCAGATCATACCCAATCAGGTGACGTTGAGATACCTTTTGGCCTGTTTAGCGGAATGGGGGGCTTTACACATCAATGCTCCTCCTACTTGCGATCGTTCTCATAAACTCAAGGTCCGTCCTTAGCAAACTATCAATATTGAGAGGAATCGCTATCATATACAAGCCGCCTGTAATAATTGTCACTGAGTTTTGTTGTCGCGCAGATATACCAGATGAAGAGATATGTATTGACATGCACACACACAGTCCCGATGTGACCAGAGTAACAAGAAAGGAAGAGGTCGTCTGATGTACTTCCTGAACTCTCTACCTGTATTCAAGTTGAAAAATATGGTCCTTGATAAGACAGGTGAGCCTCTATGGGTTGCAGTACACCACGGGAAGGTTACAGCATTGATGGGAAGCATTAACGGAGCGCTGGTACCATTAATTATCATTATATTCAGCTGATTACAGCTCTCGAAAATGCACCCACTCTCCTATATGATCATGAGATCATATGTAGTGACTTTAACCCGCCTGAAATCAAGCAGGATTCATTTACTGGTCCAGCCAGATGTGAAGACGTTTTCCAGACACTGGCTGTTTTTGGATGGAAGCAAATTGTTAACACTACTACAAGAGGTGACATTGTATTGGACCTGTCATTCCTACTCATAAATCCGGGCCAACTGCACATTTAGGTAATCCCCATTCGATTAGTCTCACATTGCTGGTTTCCAGAGTGATGGAGAAAATTATTAAGAATAATGCTGTACATAACCCATTTAGATAACTTTGTGAATACATTACACAAAGGAGTGACCAAGGACTTTTTGTTGCTGTACTGTTTTTCGACTTCAAGAGAGCATTTGAAAAGGTGTTAATGTATTGAACTTAGCATTTAGCTACAACATGGTTCCTATTTTGCCAAATGTATGCTCCCGTTTCCCACGAAGTGATCACAAAATTGCATTATGCGCGTTGCCACATCCTTCATCTTGCACTTCGACTAGTATTTTCAATCTAAGTTGTATAGTATATAGACAGTACAGTGGGGCGGATTGGTAGCAGATGTGTCCAATGATAAGGTGCATCGACTGGGATCATACTTCACCACTTCAGACCTCAAATTAGCCATTGATATATTTTACTGCAACTCTAAAACCTGCCTTGATACCACTGTTCCATTAAAAGGCTTCAAAAATTGCCACTAAACAACAAGCTATATATACCTTCCAATGCTTGTGGAAAGTTATGCAAACTCTCAACAAGATACTACAGACATCACAACTTCTATGCACTTCGGTCGATTCTTAGTATTCTTAGCTCTATCTTGCACAACTATGATTTGCGTTTGAGGAATGAAGAGAGTCGTGTACTAGCTAGCTTAGCTAGAGTATATGCTCTATCAACACTACTTAAGAAGCGATCGAATTACACAAGACATAACACTCCTCTTCTTATCCCCGACACCAAAGCTAACAATAATCCAGTAGGTGTGTGTGACATATTTAGCAGCTTATTTCCAGTTGGTTACCAGGAACCTGCAGATTTTTCGTGTGATACTGATATGGTCCGCACTATTAAAAGCTATTAATCTCATCCACAAACAACAATAGATACAAATGAACACACATATTCCAATATTCCCCAACCCATTAGGAGACTGAAATGCTCCGGCAGCGCTGGCACACATTGAGTATCATTACATTTCTTTAAATATGGTTGCCCTGATATTCCATTATTATTACTTAAAATATTTTCTCTCTCTTTGGAATCTTTCACATACCCTGATATTTGGAAAACATCATTTATCCTCCCCAGGTATAAGTTAGGTCCAAAAACTCTAGCCAGTTGCTAAATATCAACATATATTACGCCTGAAGTTTCTAGAATTAAGGAGAAAATTATTAAGGAAAGCCTTCTTCAGCACATGCTTAGCAGCAATATCATGACACCGAGTCGACATGGGTCCCTAAAATCAGGGTTCTGTATAACTTGCTACCTTGACTTCTTTAACTTCATAACACTATACGCAACCGACAATATTTAGTCTCTGTATTCCATCTGGACATTTCAAAGGCATTCTGCAGGGTCGATCACTTGCTGTCAATAAGTGAGCTGATGACTATGGGAACTGACTATGCCCTATTGGGATGGATTGAGTCTTTCCTCAGTAATCGCACTGAAGTGGTGAAGGCAGATTCACACACTTCAAAACCTAGGCCGATCACCTCTGATGTAATTCTAGGCAGTGCACTAGGTCCCCTTCTCTTGAATTTACACATCGATGACATCTGCAGCTA